TCTTCTTCTTCTTCTTCTTCTTCATCTTCTTCTTCTTCTTCTTCTTCTTCTTCTTCTTCTTCTTCTTCTAGATAGTCAGAGGCCTACCATAATACTATACTATTAATCTGCACCGATGTTTGGTCTTGATTTGTCCTCAAGCGTATTGGTTTTCTCACAGCCATCTCATTCAGCCTTTTACTTTTTTAAATAATGTTACTTACTTAGTTTTACCTTCTCATCCTCTGTTGCCGTTAAGCGTCGCACGAAGATGCAGTTTTCTATAGCAGTCCAGCTCCGCAGCTCTTTCAGCTGGGATATCATGATTTCTCAGGGCTTCCTTGACCCCCTATAATATGCACCTTTTGCGTGCCCTTCCTCTTCATTTATAGCCTGAGTGCTTGGTGTTATAAGCTCTCAAGTCAGGCTGGATAGGTGATGTACGCAACAGGTTGCCAAACCATTTTATTCTCTGTCTTTCTATGAAAAGCATGCAGGACTCTTTGCCAACAGCTGCTCTTACTTCTTCATTTCTCCTCCTGTCTTGTCTTGTGATGTTATTATTAGCGTAGTGACGTAATGTCTGTAAAATTACTCCTTTATTCAGGGGACGAAGAAACAACGAAATAAACATTAAATGTATTAAATATAATTTCACTGAGTGTTATTGAGGGGAATGAGAGTTGATAAAGAACCGCTTAAAATTATATATTCTCTGCTGTCTAGGAAACGAGGAGATTATGATTGCATCGTTTAATACCATACAATTTCTCTTTTATTAAATGCACTATAAATTATCTATTATTTATAAAGCGAAGCTGCACTACAAAACAGATGGCCCTGTTCGAATACCAGCATTCTTAAACCAAGGTTGTTTTGTGCAGTTTTCAATACTCTCAGCCTTTAAGCTTTTATACCGTCATGTCATGTAGCCGGCTCCGAGCGTCTAGCTCACAAACCTTTTGGCTTGATCCTATAGGAATCGGACGTTAAATTCGGAGGTCTCGCCTCTTAAATAACTTACTAAAGTTGACAGGAGTTTGAAACTTTTTCGCATTAATTTTTACAGGAGACGAAGAAATTAATGTGCTGTTTAATACAATATAATTCTTTCATTGATTTATTCTATATAATTTATCTGTTATTTAATACATTCTCTCTTGTTTAAAACAATATAATCTCTTTGTTATGAAACACAGTAAAATTCATCTGATCTCTAGGAGACGAAGAGATAACGAACCAACCGTTTGAATGTGACATGGTGGCCACTAAGAACTGCCAAGACTTTATCAGCATCTGGTCTGTTGGTCTGGCCGGCGAGTGTTATCACCCGGATGCTGGTGTGAGAATTGGGACCAACGGATACAAGAAGGTGGCACTGCAGGTTGGTCCTTTTTGCTGTGGGGTTGTGAGGTTGGTGGTTGTGGTGTGTGTATGGGTTGGGG